ATTAGGTCGTTTTACTATCTTTTACTCTGCTATTTGTTTAGGAAGGTCGTGCCATCCTGTTAACCAATCACACGCATGACTAAAACCAGTATCGACATCATCTTTCCCCTTTACCAGCGCCTCGGGCAGTTTGCTTGTTATTCTTCCTTGTGTTGTGTACCTTATCCGGATTGGCAGTGTTGATTACTTTGGTTTTGGTTGTACGAGTCGCAGTCGAATTACGCTCTGTACGAAATGTTTTATGTTGCCTGTTCAGTTGTAAACGGTTAAGAATATATGGAAGTCATATATTTGAACTGCGGATAAAGACGTGAATGAAAGTGTGAAAATGAGGCCTGAAAAAAATTCAGGCCTGTACGGGATTTGAACCCATGACCTCTGCGATACCGGTGCAGCGCTCTACCAACTAAGCTAACAAGCCAACTGGGAGCTGGTCATGATGTTGGTTCCAAATAAACCCGTGAAGTGATGAATAAACGGTTAAGAATATATGGAAGTCGTATATTTGAACTGCGGATAAAGACGTGAATGAGAGTGTTGTATTTCCTTTTACCCGTTTAGAGCCTGTGGATTTGTCTCATTTGCGGTCACATTGGTTGTGGTAGATATCTTAGATCTCACGCGAAAAGGTTAGCAACAGATTGTTAACTCCCATGAGTGAGCAAGACAGAATTTCTCCTTACAATATCAACCAAATAATTGATGAGAATAAAGAATAATATAAAATTGGGAATAATTAGTTGATCCAATACTGATTTCTCTGAGCTCATTTTATGAGAATTTTCTGGTTGACAGTAAGGAGAATTGCAAATTTCATCTGGGAAAATTTCCTTTTTTTGATGAAAGTAATCCAGGATTGCATCAGTGTTGCCTTACTTCTATATGATTGGACCAGAAAACTTACGCCACTCTCTAAAGGATGCAGAAGCAAAGCTAAAAGTAACAAGCAATTTTTTGTAACTAAGTTAAGGTCGTTTTGTAATCTTTTTTCCCTTGATCTGATCGGCCCACTATTGCAATTCCTTTTCACTATGTTTTGGATTTAGGACATTAAATCGAAATGTGATTTTATGCTGTTAATGTATGAGATCGAAGTCGAATTGGAACAAATAGAGAAATTTAAACTATTTCTGCTTAGTATACGTCGTCGTTTTTCTGAATTTACAGACATTTCCAGGAAACACATCATACATATTCCTTAGAGCTTGGAACACAGCGAGTTTGGGACTACACAGGAGGTAGGACACAAGGATTTGCAGGGACATTTCCTCCTCTTTTGTTCTACTGCGGTCAATTTTGAAGAATTATTCATAACTCCAATATTTTGATTTATCCACAGACAACTTTGTTCATCGTCTGATCCAGAATAAAACCGACGGCAAGCTTGTTGAATATGGCTCAGAACAACAGGTAAATCACGTAGAACAAAAAACAGAAAAAACTGTTAGTCTGTTACCTAATCCTTTCACTTACACAGGTGACCAAAAACGAATTTCTCTTCTCTATATTGATAGATTTCCGACCAGAAATGCAATGAAAAGGATATCCACAAGGATATATTCTTTGACCTAAGACTAAATTCTCGCAGCTGAAATTATAAGAAATGAAAGCAGACAGTGTGGAAAGTTTAAATTTAGATCTTGAGGGTGAACGGGAGCATATCCAACCTCGTTCCCAGGGTTTTTCTACTTCCACCCATGCCTTCAGGGGCACGGGAAGACGAGAGATCCTGGGATCGAGGCTGGAGCATGTCTTGACTTCT